CTGCTTCCATAAAGATTACAGCCAAGAAAACCCTATGGAGCAGTTCTACCCTGTAACACATGGGGTAGCCATGAGTTGGAATCAACTCAACAGCAATAGTTTTTCTGTGTGTGTTTGTTTTCTTTTTAATTCACACATGAAATATTATACCACAATGAGAACAAGCAAACTACAACTACACACAATACAGATGAATCTCACAAATATAATGTTGAATGAAGAAAGCCAGACACAAAAGAGTACATACAATAGGATTTCATTTATAATCACTGATATGAATAGGACTCCATTATTAAGAAGAGGCAAATGTAATCCATGCTGTTAGAAGTCAGGACGATGGTCACCTTTGGGGGAAGGGGCGGGATAAATGATTGACAAGAATGCAAATGAATGTTCTGAGGAATTGGTATTGTTCTGCTTCTTGATTTGGTGTCAGATCTGTGAAAATTCATTAGGATGACATGATATGAGAACTTTTTATATGTATATTAGCCTTCAATAAAAAGTTTAACCAATAAATTTTAGAGAGGAATTAAACTAGAAGGCAGAAACCAAAGAACACAATGTATTTTCACCTTTTAACAATAGTGTTCCAAAGAAGCTATTTTTTAAATCACCTATGATCTTAGCCAAGAGTCAACTAGTAAAATTTATCTCTTGACATACTTAGGAAATCATTCCTGTACTGATGGGGGTGGGGGTGATCCTTTTCTTCTTCTCAAGCAGAAGAATTAGTTCTACAGGCAAAGAAGGGTAAAAATGGCTTCAATTAAGTGATTCAAATATCTGCCTTTGGGTATAATGTTAAAAAAATGATTCCTATTATATTTTTGGGTTTTAAGTGAGGTTAAGGTTTTCAGACTATACCATGTGCTTCCTTTATATACAGGAGAAAGGTCTAGGTATTTATTTTCAGGTTCAGTGCTCTTAGTCTTTGCCTGTAGTCACAAATGTTCCCTTTCTCCTCTTTGCTTCTAAAAATGAATGCCATTTTTCACTTAAAATAGTTGAATAAAATTTCTGATGTATTCTGTGTCCTAGAAAACAGACCCTATTTTGACAGAACATCAGTTGCATAATTCATTCTCACATAATTACATAATTCGAACTCATTATTTAACAGTTCCCATATTTTAACTGTATCTTTTTTTGTATATTTCCTTCCATAGCAACATGCTTTCCAGCTCTCCCACACCCATTTCTCTGAAGGAAGATGTCTCAAAGGTTTTTCTCTGCGTTTTAAGCCACCAAGAAAGGCAAGGGCTGGAAGCTTTGCGAACCAGAGGTACTGAAAATCTAGCATAGCCGCCATTCATCCCATGGTTAACAATTAATTTTTGAGGGCTCACAGGGTGCCAAGCAATGTTCCAGGCATGAAGATATAGTGGGATAATGGTTCTAAATTTAGACAGCCTGGGTTCAAATCCTAGCTATATAATTTACTATCACTGTAAACACAATCTGTTTTTACTTAACCTCTCTATGCCTCAGTTTACTCATCTATGAAAGGCGGATACCAATAATACCTTTCTCCTAGCCTTCTGAAACCCCAAACCAAACCTGTTGCCATTGAGTTGATTCTGACTCATAGCAACCCTTCAGGAGACAGCGGCTAGTGGATTTGAACTGTCAACATTTTGGTTAGTAGGCAAGCTCCTCACTACTGTACCACCAGGCCTACCCTAGCCTTCTTAGGAAGGTTAAATGGCGTATTATGTGAAAATCGCTTAGATTCATCCATAGCACATGGTAAGCACTCAATAGGTGTCAGATGCTATTATAAGAAAAGACACCTAATGATTTTTGCCAAATTGCCTGCTGACAAACTTCTTCACCACCACCACAATTGTCTACCATCTCCTTTCTTCTAGCAGCCCCATCCATGCTAGCAAGTAAAGGGCAAAGGCATTTAACTGAACTAGCAATACCACAGGGTGGTGGCACTAGAAAGTCCTTAGTCCACTCCTACTCTTGCCTTTTTCAAATAAGGACACTAAGCCCAGAGATGCTGTTGTTGTTGTGAGATACCATCCAGTTGGTTCTGATTCAGAGCAACCCTACGTACAACAGAATGAAACACTGCCCCGTCCTGCACCATCCTCACAATCGTTGCTGTTTGAGCCCACTGTTGCAGCCACTGTGTCAGTCCATCTCGTTGAAGGTCTTCTTCTTTTTCGCTGACCGTCTCCTTTACCAAGCATGATGTCTTTCTCCAGGGACTGGTCCCTCCTGATGACATGTCCAAAATACATGAGATAAAGTCTCGCCATCCTCACTTCTAAGGAGCATTCTGGCTGTACTTCTTCCAAGACAGATGTGTTCGTTCTTCTGGCAGTCCATGGTATATTCAATATTCTTTGCTTGAATCCAAATTCACACAGCTAATTAGAGGCAAAGCTGATATTACACCTTGGGTCTCTATGTTCCTAGTCCAGGCATTAGGCTGGGTAAACCTGCAAACTGGAAGATTAGCCTGTCCTCTTGGTCTGACTCACATCTCACCTCACCGAAGGGTGAAAGTAATTCTCACTGCTCCTCCAAGCTGGGAGGCCCCCTTTGCCACAGATTGTCTATTTTTAACCTCTATAGATGGCCTGCTCCCTGCAGACTCACTCTGCCTAACAGACTGCTGTGGGATTTAAGGCACTCTCCATGGTGTTGCTTGGTGGTTGCTATGCCAACAAAATTAAATGGAAATACAGTTTTCTAGTATATTACTCTGGTGGAGGCTTTAAAGCCAGATTATAGTTCTAACTGTGAACCTTAAATAATGCAAGTTATAGGACTGGCACATAGTAAGCACAGCATAAATGTTAAAAGACAGAATGAAGACACAGATGAAATTAGTGGTATCAGAGAGGCCGCTAGAAGAGGTAGCAGCAAAGAACTGATTTACTACTTGAAGTCGGTTTGGAGCAAGTTTACTCACATCCTCCTTGGGAGGTGGTGTAGCCCTAAATTTTAATAATTACCGAACAGTTTGTGAGTGAAATGATTTGTCTGATTCCGTCAAGCTGCCTCTAATCTTCAGGCCACTTACTAGGCCTGCAAGTCAGGGGAAGACTTCCACAAAGGATCTGACTTCACCCAGAAGTGTGTTGCAGACATGGAAAAGGTAACAGGAATCTGACCCTGGGCTCCCATTGCGGGACTTTTATTTACACCTTAGTGAATCTTTTTTGAGTCCCTCTAGGGTAGCTTTCTGAAACCCTGGTGGCGAGTGGTTAAGCGTTCAGCTGCTAACCAAAAGGTTGGCAGTTCGAATCTACCTTGGAAACCCTATGGGGCAGTTCTACTCTGTCTTATAGGGTGGCTATGAGTCAGAATTGACTCGATGGCAATGGTGGTTTTTTTTTTTTTTTCTTTCTGAGTAGCTTTTCGGCAAATTTAATCAACATATTTAATAAATGGATTAAAAAAAAATTTAAACAGCCCCTCTGGTCTAAGAGGAGTCCCTGGGTGGTACAAACAGTTAAGTGCTTGGCTGCTAACCAAAAGATTGTAGGTTCAAGTCCACCCAGAGGCACCTTAGAAGAAAAGTCCTGGCAATCTACTTCCAGGAACTCAGCCACTGAAAACCCTATGGAACACAGTTTTACTCTGGCTCACATGGGGTTACCATGAGTCAGAATCCACTTGACAGCAACTGGTAGGCATATATGCCTGTGTCAGGTTTTCATCTGTTAAAAAAGAAAAAAGCTATTAGAGGCTCTAAGATAATTATGGAGCTCTTTACAGTTAAAATAAAATCAGTGTCCATGAACAGACGGATGAACAAAATGTGATATAGCTATACAATGGATTATTCAGCCATAAAGAGAAGGGCAAATATTGTATGTTCCCACTTATATGAAATATTTAGAGTAGGCAAATGCATAGAGACAAAAGTCATCACCAGGGGCTGACGAGGAAGTGGAGATGTGAGTTATTGCTGAAGGGCTACTGGGATTCTGTTTCAGGTGATGGTAGCACATTATGGTGAATGTAATTAATGTCACCGAATTGTACACTTAAAAATGGTTAAAATCACAAACTTTTTGTTATATATGTTTTACCACAATAAAAAAAAAAAATCAGTGTTGAAATAAGTAATATTAAGGCTCCGAAAACAGAGACACCTTTAAGTCAAGAAGATGCATGAAATAACTGTGTACCGATGAACACAACGGAATCTCACTTTTGACATGAAAACCCAACAGTAACTTTTATCCTACCTTCATATTTCAAGAATTGGACTAGGAGTTTTCGAAAACAGTTTTTTTTTTTTTTTTTTTTAAAGCTGAGTCATCAGGGTCCTTCAGAAGGAAAGAAACCTGCCTTAGAATGAGAATCTTCCCTTCTCCGCGTGAAAGGGGCATGCCCTTCAGAGATGGGGGTGGGGGTGTAGAATCTGGTTGCTTTAACAATTTATCCACAACTCATGCACTTTATTAGATTCAGTTCTGCGGTTACTTAGCTACAGGGCACTCACGACTAGAGTAGGCTCCCTAGCTTAATTATTTTGGGACATCCTCTCCTGGTTGCTTAGGATGAAGAGCTCCTGATATAAACACCCGGACCTTCCTGCAGACAGATTTTCAAAGATGCCCAGCCATGCTTCATCCACATCTACCTCCCCGCTCCCCAGTAGCTGTAAAGTGTAAAAAGCTTGCCAGGGCCTGCAGAAGCGCAGAGCCTCCAAGGCTGGCACGCTTCTCCCCTTCCTCCTCCGGGAATGATCCCAGCATCTCTCCCCGTGATGTCAGTGGAATCTTGAGCCGGATCCCGCTCCACGGCAGGGGGAGGACAGACGGAACTCCCGGAGGCTGGGCTGAGCGGGAGTGCCACCCACGCGGTGGCGACCCCGGGGCAGCGCGCCCCAGGATCCCCTGGGCAGTTCGCTCTCGGACCCCGGAGGGGC